AAGAAATAGTTTTCTCCTCTGTTCAGGCACTTCTTTTGCTCTCTTTGCTTCCATTTAACGCAAAATGATTTCATTTCTGATGCTCATCTTTGGTGCTCCTGGATACTTCATTCTAGCTGGGCAGGGGGATATTTGGCCACTGATGAGTTCCCCCATCCTCCTCAGAAGCTAGATTCCTGAACAGGGTTGTCAGCAGGGCTTTGAACCGGTTCATTCTGGTTTGATCCCTTGTTGAGAATTTGCATTCTGCCCTCAGATATACCGAATCAGAATATACATTTTAACAGATCACCACCGTGCTAAAATATGGGCTCTGACTCAATATATCTGGGATGCCATTGCAACTTCTCAGCAAAGGGCTGAACTGAAATGAACCGGTTAGAAGCCCTGGCTGTCAGTGAGACTGGTGTTGTGGAGCTTCTTTGAGCACATGCTCATGCCCTGAGGGGGGCCTGCCCCCATCAGGAAGCCGCTCTTCTGAGAGCCTCACTGCCACAGCTCCACACCCTGTTCCTTGGTTTGTGGAGGCCATGGGGAGTGAGAAGCAGGGCTGGGGTCTCTCACTAGAGGGGCTGAAGAGTGGAATCCTATGTCTGGCTCTTGTCCCTAGACTTGAAACCCACACCAGAAGAGCTAAGATGGGACAACATTATTCTCCAGGAGAGGCAGTGTCATTGAGAGTGGAAAGCAGACCTAAGTCTGAATGTTGAAGACTGTGTGGCCTTGGGGCAAGTTAATCTCTGTGAACCCGTTCCCTCATTTGCATATGGGGGATACAAATAATAACTGCCTCATAGGATTTCTTTGAGGATTCAGTGTTTCCTGTCAGCTGTCATTAATTTAGTGCCCAACTCATGGTGGCCCCATGTACAATGTAACAAAGTGCTGCCCATTTCTTCACCTTCCCCATGACTGGTTGTGGGTTGGACTGCTGTGATCTACAGGGCTTTCACTGGCTGTTTTTTGGAAATAGATCAGCAGTCCTTTCTTCCTAGTCCTTCTCAGTCTGGCAGCTCCAGTGAAACCTGTTCAACATGCAAGCCTTTGCCACTGATAGACTGATGGTGGCTATGCATGAGGTACATTGGCTGGGAATCAAACCTGGATTTCCTGCATGGAAGGCGAGAATTCTACCACTGAGCTACCACTGTCCCAGGATTAAATGAGACAGTGTATATAAAATATCCTGTTCCATAGTACACGCTAAGGAGCTCTGGTGGCACAGTGCCTAAGGCATTTGACTGCTAAACAGAAGGTTAGTGGTTCAAACCTGCCAGCTGCTCCATGGAAGGAAATTACCACCCAGTGTGGGTTGCTATGAGTTGGAATCAACTTGATGGCAGTGGGTTTGGTTTATAGTACGAGCTCAGTCGTAGATTCACCACTTACCAACTATGTGGCCCTGGGCAAGTTATTTAACCTCTCTGAGCCTTAACTGCATCATCTGTAAGATGAGGGTAATTATACCTACCTTTCAGCATGCTAATAAAAGTTGGAGCTAATATATATAAATCCTCTGTTGTTGTTGTTGTTATGTGCCGTCGAGTCGGCCCCGACTCATAGCGACCCCTCCTTGGGTTTCCGAGGCAGTTATCACTACGGAAGTAGGATTGCCCAACCTCTAGTAGAGTGTTTCTCAAAGTGTGGTCCCGAGACTGACAGCATTCTCTGGGAATGTTTAAAGAAATGCGAACTCTCAGGTTTCGCTCTAGACCTTAGAAACTCTAGGGGCAGGGCCAGCCATCTGTGTTTTAACTGGCTTCCAGTGATTCTGATGCTTGCCCAAGTGTGAGAACCACTGTTGTAGAACAATCCTGGTGCATGAAACCCAAAACCAAACCCACTGCTGTCTACTTGATTCCAACTCATAGCAACCCTACAGGAGAGAGAACTGCCCCGTGAGGGACTGACTCAATGGCAGTGGGTTTGGCTTTTTGGTTTGAATCTTTACAGAGGCATGCTGCCACAGCTGATGGGTTCAAACAGCTGATCTTTTGGTTAGCAGCCAAGCACTTAACCACTGTGCCACGAGGGTTCCTTTTCCTGGCGCATAGCAAAAAACCAAACTTACTGCCCTTGAGTTGATTCTAACTCATAGTGACCCCCATTGGGTTTCCAAGGCAGTAAATCTTTACAGAAGTAGATTGCCCCATCTTCCTTCTGCAGAGCAGCTGGTAGGTTTGAACCGCCAACCTTCTGGTTAGCAGTCAGATGCCTTAGGCACTGTGCCACCAGAGCTCCTTTTCCTGGCGCATAGAAGCTGAGCTGATTAATGGAATACATCACACAGAAATCAAAAAAAAAAAAAAAAAGGGCCAATTTCAATCACCTCCCACCACCAATTTAGAACCCTGTTGGGCAAATCCCTCTATTCATAGTGAGCCTGTAGGACAGTGTAGAACAGCCCTTTAGGGTTACCAAGGTTGTAATCTTTTTGGAGACAGACTGCCACATCTTTCTCCTGTGGAGCAGCTGGTGGGTTTGAACCCCTGCCAGACTTTTCAGTTAGCAGCCTAGTACTTAACCACTGTGCCACCAGGGCTCCTTCCTTGGTGCTCCGTCTCTGTTTAAAAAAGCATTGCTCAGAGGCACCAACATTACTGTTGTTGTTGTTGTTGTTATGTGCCGTCGAGTCGGCCCCGACTCATAGCGACCCCTCCTTGGGTTTCCGAGGCAGTTATCACTACGGAAGTAGGATTGCCCAACCTTCCTTCCGAGGAGTGGCTGGTGGGTTTGAACCGCCAGCCGTCTGGTTAGCAGGCAAGTGTCTTAGCCACTATGCTACCAGAGCTCCCACCAACATTACTAACTGCATCATTATCATCCCCCTGTGGGCAAAACAAGAGGCAACTTGTTTAATGGTGCAGCATGAAGGAATTAAGTTAGCCAAAAGAGGTCTTCACAGAGAGTGAGGATGGGAAAAAGGAGAAAATTGGCTTGGTGACCTTCAAAACAAAGACTGTCAGTCTTAGGAACAAGAATATTTCTGGGAATTGGCTGCAGGGCTATGAACTGACCTGGGCTGAAGTGGGTTCTCATCCAGCCCTGCCGCTGAACTCAGTCACTTCAGCCAGGACTCTTCCTGTTTTGTGCCTTGGTTGCCCTGTCTGTAAAATGAGGTGGTGGGGTTAATGGGTCAGTCTGAGTTCTTTATTGCTGACATTTTGGGGGTCCAGTTGGCCATGGCTGGAGGTCCAAGAAATTGAGAGAAGCTGCAGTCCAGGAAGGGACAGATGCAAGGGAAACCTTGGGACAGAAGTTGGTGCAGCCAGGCTCTCAATTACCCACTGGCCCAGACTCAGACCCCAGTTTAGATTTCAACAGTGCCTGCTTAGAATCTGTACAACTTTGGGCAAGTCACTTTACTTTCCTGAGCCTCACTTTTCTCATCTGTAAAATGTGATTAATAAAACCCACTTTATAAAGGAGCTCTGGTGGCATAATGGTTAAGGCATTTGGCTGCTAACTTGAAGGTCAGGGGTTCAAACTCACCAGATGTTCTGTAGGAGGAAGATGAGGCAATTTACTTCCAAAGCCAATGGGAGTTGCTATGAGTGGAATCCACTCGATGGCAGTGTTTATTTTCATTTAATTAATTAATTTTTTTAAAAAAACCTTACCAGTATATGTTGAGATATATGGGCTCTTAGCATGGAAGTAAGATGGGGCAATCCACTTTTGTAGTGATACTGCCTCGGAAACCCAAGGAGGGGTCGCTATGTGTCTGGTCTGACTGGACGGCACATAACAACAGTAACAACAGCACGGATCTGGGCCTAGGAAAGGGTCCTTTTTATCCAAGCCGCTGGTGATATGAGTAGCCCCGCCTCTGAGTCCTCACCCGGAGTGACCTGTCAGTGCTCATTTCATCTAGAGGCAAGGAGACATAGGCTGCCAATCTCCCCCACCCTCCAATGGCCTGAAGTGCCAATGTGGTTTCCTCCAGAAGTCTGCAGGACAGGAAGGGGCCAGTCCCACTTACAAGGACTCAGGAGGCAGAACTGGAGGCTGTGATTGGAAATAGGGTAGACGCGGGTGGGGGAGTTGTGGAGGGGTGGGAGGGAGTGGAAAGTGGAAAAGAAGCCTCTGGGGGCGAGCGCCCTGGGGACTTCCCAGGAGGCTGCGGTGTGGCACTATGGGGGGGGTGTGCAGCGCGGAGACCGGAGGGGGGATGTGCTCTGGTCAGGAGGGGACAGCGGGTCCAGATCTCCCCATCCCCCGCACCTGTGCGTGTATTTAGGTTAGTCTGGAATCTGCCAACCCCAGTGGGTCGTCTGCCTTGTGACTAGCTCTCCAAAGATTACTTCACCCGTTTGGGCTCTCGCTGTTCAATTCCAAGACCTGCCTCTTGTCCGCTCCTTCTTATTCCATCCCTGCAAGGTTTTCATCTTTCTTTTGGTCAGTGTATAGTGCAGCCCAAAGCCGTAACTCTGCCTTTCGCCCCTTTGGACAGGATAGGAACCTCCAGAGCTCCATAATAAGAAGCCATTGAGTAGTGTTCCCTGACTGCAGCTACAGCTTTTCTCTGTCATCTCATGGACTACTCTCCCCACCCCCTTTCAGAAAAAAAAAAAAAAAAAAACCCAAAAACGTGACGAGGAGTTCGTTCACTGTCCTAGGTGACGAATTTCCATTGCGAACAGGACTCAGACCTGCACTTTTGGAGTGGGTGCAGGGAAAGCACCTTCAGAGACTGCTTCCTCAGAGTTAGGGGGCGGGGAGGAAGCACAGATTCGAAGCAAGGCTGCAAAGATCTTTTTTCTTGGGTTGGGGTGACCCCTGGTGGTCATTCAAAATCCAAGCAGCCCATGGGAAGAGGGGAGAATGGAGAATTACAGAGTGGCCCAGGCAATACTAAGAGTAAGAGAGCCATCCTCCTGAAGTTGATACCGAGGGTGACCGAAGCCTCCCTGTCTGGCCAAGCCACTCATGCGTCCCCTTCCAGAGCTCCAGTCTGGAGTTCCTGGTGGGGTTTTATTAAGGGTGGGGCCCTTACACAGGTCTCTTCCTGTTCCCGGTGTCCCTGTCGCTGGAGGTGTCTGTGGGGAAGGCTACCACCATCTACGCTGTCAACGGCACTGAGATCCTGCTGCCTTGCACTTTTTCCAGCTGCTTTGGCTTTGAGAACCTCCAATTCTGGTGGTCCTACAATGGCACTGGCACATCCAAGACTGTAAGTAATGAGGGGAGGAAAGGACAGCACAACTTCCTCCTTCTTTCTCACGTGGTCCCTTCTGAACTGAACCCCACTAAGATGGTCCCCAGAACCTACTTTTTGTACCCCCTTTCTCAGTGTTCTCTGAAAAGCCTGCCTAGAGGGATCTAAGTGGGAGGGATGCTATGCTTTTTCCAGAACAGTGTTGCTAGAATTTGGGGCTGTTGGATGGAATTCTTGGCTAGAGTCCTCTCTTAAGAAATACCTGGAACTTGAATTTCTTGTGTAAAAATTAATAATTTAGTTAAAGAAAAAAAAAAAAAAAAAAAAACCAACAGAGAAAGACTAACCCTTTGGATCTTTGGAGAGGGGGAAGGAGAAGAACCCAAATGATGGAAGGGCTGGGGAACTGGACTTGGAAGGAAAGGAGAGAAGAAACTAGAGAAGAACAAGCGATCTGCAGAACCATTGGCAGGCCTGTGGGGCAAAGGTGGGGGATAAATCTATGGTTTATATTTATTGCAAACTTAGTCCACAATCTAGCATGGGACTCAAGATTAACACAGGTAAGCCCCCAGGAGACCAATTCTGGATAGAATTAAATACAGAACTCAGGGTACTGATGATTAAGGCTGTAGGATTGAACCCATTCCTCACAGTGGGTCAGAATTTAGATGGACGGGCGACATGGTGCCAGGAAAAGCTGAGTGGGAAGTGACAGAGCAATGAATGTGGTATTTGCAGGGGTCATTACTTAAAAAGCTTTTATGAAGAAAGCAGTAAGAGCTTTGCTACAGTGCATGGATATCTTAAGAAACAAAAATGGGCTTAGAGTATAAACACAGAAGACTTGAAAGCAGGGACTCAAACAGATACTTGTACACCAATGTTCACTGAAACATTATTCACAATAACCCAGTGGTGGAAACAACCCATCACTAACAGATGAATGGATAAATAAAATGTGGTACATACATGCAATGGAATATTACTCAGCCATAAGGAGGTATGAAATCCTGATACATTCTGCAACATGTGCTAACCAGGAAAACATTGTGCTGAGTGAAATAAACCAGACACAAAAGGACAAATATTGTATGGCTCCACTTACGTGAAATATCCACAACAGACAAATACATAGAGACAGAAAGTAGAGGTTATCAGGGACGGGGGAAAGGGAAAATGGGATATTATTGCTTAATGGATACAGAGTTCTGTTTGGGGTGATTAAAAGTTTTGGAAATAAATAGTGGTGAAGGTTGCACAATATTTTGAATGTAAATAATGCCACAAATTATATACTTAAAATGGTTAAAATGGCAATTTTTATGTTATTTATATTTTATCATCATAAAGAAGAAAAGGAAATAGGTTTAGCCTTCAGCAAGCAAGATTTAGGACAGACAAGCAGAGCTATTGATGCTGGAAGAGGAAACTAAGGGGGAGGAAGCAGCTCAGATTGAGGGCTCTTCCTGGGCCTGGATGTGGGAGGTACCCAAGGAATGGGTTGGAGTGATGCTCATGACCTTTGAGGACCCTGATTCTTTCTTGACTATCTCCTCTTCTATTCCCTAGCTCATAGAAGGGACTGTAAAGAATGAGAAGTCTGACCCCAAGGTGAAGGCCAAAAAGGATGACCGTATCACTCTGGTGGGCTCTACTAAGGAGAAGGTGAACAACATTTCCATTCTATTGAAGGACTTGGATTTCAGTGACACTGGCAAATACACCTGTCGTGTGAAGAACCCCAAGGAGAAAGATCTTGAGCACCAGGCCACCATCTTCCTTCAAGTAGTTGACAAATGTATGCGTTAGGGGCTGGGCTGAGGGCAGTGGAATGGGAGTGGCTTGGGGGACAGATGCTGATTCAGTGTTATAGTCAAATGGTAAAAATTGACATGTTGTTGCTTACTTTACTTTACTCTTTCAAGAGTTACAGAAGCTGGAAGAACACACCTTGAATGCTTATTTTACCACTCAATAACTTGTGAATACACTTAGCCTCTCTAAGCCTCATTTTCCTCATCTGTAAAAGGAAATATAGCTGCATTCTTCTGGGGTGGTTGTGAGGATTAGAGTAGCTACTGGGTGCATTTTGTGACTATTCAAGCTCTTTTTCTCTGTGCTTATTATTACTACTATTGTGTACCCCATTGGTAACAATTGATTGAATATCAGGTACTGTACTAGAAAGTTCTCTGAATGATACATAATGATTTTTTTCTTTTGAAGAACTTACAGTTTAGGAAAAAGTGGAATTAGGTAAACACATAATTGAAATAGAAGGCAGAGCATGATACATACATATATACATACAGGAAAGGTGTAGACAATAGAGATTGAATAAAACATGGCCCTTTCCCTCTGGGAGTTTATATACTATTTGGGGATTCCAGTCTGACACAGGTGGAACAATTGGACAGTGAGGGTGGGTATGATAAGGAGTTACGTGAGTCACATGCCCCCAGACAGTGAAGGAAGGGGGTTATAGAAGTGGGGCTGATAACAAGGGCTGGAGAAGTTGGGCTGGGCTTCATGAAGTGGAAGAATCTGGAAGGGTAGAGAGGTGCAGAAGCAGAGAGAAAAGGGGGATGGAAACTACTTAAGGATCCTGATCCTGTTGCATTTTCTGTGTAGCTTGGGATTTTCTGCTGTCCTGGATGACATGGAATGCCTGGTGAGGGAGACGCCATTGCTTTGATCTTGACCATGCTAAAGGCAGAGCTGGAGGCCATCTGGGCAGCTTTTTCTGAGCCTAGAGTATCTGAGTCAAGTCCACTTATGGTGGCACCTCTACTTTTCTGGCTGGGCTCCTGTCACTCTGCTTGGTGCTCAGCCTTCTCGGGAGGGAAAAGAAGGGGAAGAGAGCCAATATTTATGGAACATTTCTGGGTGCCAGGTTCTGGGTTAAGTGCTTTCATTCTCTTGGCTTCTTGGCTCCTCAGTTCCTTGGCTCCTTATTAAGTCCCTTCAAGGTGGGTCTTCACTCCATTTTTACTGGTTCATTCTTCTATCTACTCAACAAATATTTTTTGAGCTCCTGTTATGTGATAGACATGTTCTAGGTGCTGAGGATGCAGCATGAAGAAGACAGATAAATTTCTGCCTCATGGAGACTATCTTCTAATGGAGCAGGGGGTGGATAGGAGAGACCTAATAAACAAAACAAAGAAGAAAATAATATTGTATAATAAACCAAAACCAAAAACAAACTCCAAACCAAATTCACTGCCATTGAGTTGATTCTGACTCAGAGACCCCCTTTGGGTTTCCAAGGTGGTAAATCTTTATGGAAGTAGATTGCCCAGTCTTCCTTCTGCAGAGTGGCTAGTGGGTTTGAACTGCCAGCCTTCTGGTTAGCAGTCAAACACCTTAGGCTCTATTCCACCAGAGGTCCTTACATTATATAATAGAACAAATTAAATGCTAGGAGAAAAAATGGAATCCCTGGGTGATATAATGATTAGCGCTGAGCTGTAAATAAAAATGTTGACGGTTCAAATTTACCTAGAAATGCCTTGGAGACAAGGCCTGGTGATCTATTTCTGAAAAATTAGCCATTGAAAACCCTGTGGAGCACAGTTCTGTTCTAACACACATGGGGTTGCCATGAGTCAGAATCAACTTGGCAGCAACTGGTTTGGGTTTGGTTTTATGAGAAAAAATGAAACAAGGAAAGGGAAATGAGGTTCCAACAGGGTGGCTGTGGAAGGTCTCACTAGGAAAGGTAACATAGAATGGGGTCATTTGAAGGAGATGAGAGAGGAAGCCATGAGGATGTCTTTGGGAAGATGTTCCAGGTTAAGGGAACAGCAAGTGCAAAGGTCCTGAGGTAGATGTTTGAAGTACAACAAGGACACAAGTGTGACTGGAGCAGGGTGAGTAGTAAGAGATGAGTCAGATTGAGCCAAGTTGTGTGGAGCTTTGTAACATGAGTGAAATGAGAGCCACTGAAGGATTCTAAGCAGAGATGTCAATGCCATATCAGGCTTACTCTGGCTGCTGTGTGAAGAATGCAGACAGTCATCAAAGTGGGCATACCAGTTGAAAGTTATTATTGACATCCAGAGATGACTTAGGTGAGGGTGGTAGTAAGTGGTCAGATTCTAGATTTTTTTTTTTAAAGTTAGTTGCCATCAGGATTCTCAGGTAGATTGATATAGGCTTTGGGAAAAAGGGAGGAGACAAGGAAGACTCCAGGGTTTTTGGTCAGAGCAACTGGAAGGATAGAGTTGTTCTCATGCTGATGAGGAAGAGTATGGGTGGAGCAGGTTTGGGAAGAAGTTTTGGAGTTCAGTCTTCAGATGAGGAATTGAGGCTAGAAGGATTAAGTGACCTGTCCAAGGTTATGAGCTAGTGAGAGGCCTATAGTTAAAACCCAGATCTATCTGGTCAAAGATATCTTATGATAGCAGAGATATCATAGAGAGATTCTTGATTTTTTTCTACAGTGGCCAAGGAGCCCTAGAACGATGCAATGGAATTCTCACATGGCAGTTTGGGGGGCCAGGTGATGACTCAAACCTGGGTGATGTGGGCCCTGAGTCTGAATTATTTCAGAATTTGTATGTGTGTCTGTAGGAGAGTATTTATGGAGAGGGTGATGGGATGTTGTGCCATGTTCCTGCTTCTCCTGCTTCCTGCCATAAGGTCTGGGGGGGGGGGTGGTAGAGCTGGAGGCCTGAGAGTGGACTTGTCCCAGATGCTGGTGAGCTGTGTCAGGGGGTGGAAGCTGCATAGCCCAGCTCCAGGTGACTTCTACTCTCTGTCTCCCCCTTGCCCTCCTTACTCTGGCCATGCAGTGGAGGAAGTGGACAACACAGTGACACTCATCATCTTGGCAGTTGTGGGCGGTATCATTGGGTCCCTCATCTTCATCCTGCTGCTCAAGAAGTTCATCACCTTCATCCTCAAGAAGACTCGGGAGAAAAAGTGAGTTCACTGCCATAGCACACTCCTGTCCTCCTGCCAGCCTGCCACTTACTCCCATTTCATAGGTGCTCCCAGCATCCTCTTCTCTTGTTCCACCTTCACCTGCCCCCATCATTCTCCCTGTCATCTTATCCTTACTTCTGACTCTCATTCTATCCTGTTTTCCTAATGCTACCACTCTCTTTCTTATCCCTGCAACCCTCCTCCCCATCTCCTAGTTCCTCTCCTATGTTTATCTCCTCTTCCTCATGCTCCCAATATGTGTTTATTGAATGAATGGATAATGAATCCCACATTCCACTTGCTCTTCTTTATCCCACTGTCTTCCTTCTCATCTCATTAGCCTCTTTCTTTCCACTTCTCCAACCTCAACCTAAAGTTTACCAAAGAATTTAGGAACTTCCTCCACCCCCCACATTAGAGAAAACATAAAATTCCATGTACAGAAACTCTAGGGAGGGAAGATCCTTCTGGAGATATGGAGTCTCTTGTAAAATTCTGAAAATTCAAATGAGGCAAATAAAAAAAATCTAAAATGGCTAATATGAACCCCTAGGAAACTATGGTAAGCCCAGGCACACAAAGAGACATCTATAAGAGAAGGGGGAAGAGGAGATGGAGGGAGGTATAGAGAGTGCAACCCCCTCCCCAGAATTTCCAGAACAGTGTCAAGAAGCTTCAAAGCAGGAGGTGGTGATTCTTCCAAAACCAGAATGGGGGAAAAACATCTGTAGCTGTGTTCTGAGCAAGAAAAATGAGATGAGGCAGGTCTACCATTGAAATAGACAGGATGATGGTAACAATGAGATGCAAAAGGGAAGGAAGAACATCTTTGCTCCTGTTTGCTTTATTTTGCTCTGTCAAAGAGGGAATTCGGCTAGAGAGGGAAGAAATTACACTTGTAAGAGGGAAAGGAAGCTGAAGGCCCAGAAGGAGATATTAAGGGAATAATATCCCAGGCCCTAACTGAGAAAAAGAATTCATAGGTTGTCTCAGTGCTCCATGGCCAGGGGCTGTGAGATTTTTGGAGACCTGGAGAGGGACCCTGAAGCACTGAGCTGGACCAAATTCTGTCTTTAATCCAGTCTTATTGTTGATGGCAAGCAAACTTGGAGAACAAATCACTGCACATATGGTTTAAAACACTTAGAGAAAAAACAATGATCCTTCAGAGCCACCACGTATTCATCAATAATAAGACATGCTAAACATTTTCTTGATAAGGCACTGGTGGATTAGGAGATTGCTACAGAGATAATAACACCATCGAATGCGTACTGTGCGAGATACTCCATCAGGCATTTAAAAACTATATCTATAATTTTTATTTTACAGTTGAGCATAGTGAGGCTCAGAGTGGTTAGAATACACAGGCAGTAAGTGATAGAGGTGTGATTTGAGACTTGACTTATTTGGCTTCAAAACTTAAACTGTTGCTACTGTACCCTACTGACTGATTGGTTGTATATAGAGTTCATTCATTCATTCATTGATTTGGTGGCTATTTTTGAGGTACTGTGTGCAAGGTACTGTGTGCAAGGCACTGTGCCAAGTGCTGTAGGATATTCTAGAAGGAATGATATTTTCCCCTTAATGAAGCAGGATGTGTACACTATAAATGTAATACAAGTTAGAGGCGATCAGTGCTAGCATAGAGGTATAAAATGATGAAAGGGTTCAGAAGCAAGTGAAATTCTGGACTGCTGTATTTGTGCTGGTGGCATAGTGCCTAAGGCCTTTGACTGCTAACCAGAAGGTTGGTGGTTCAAACCCACCAAACACTCGGTGGAAGGAAGACTGGGCAATCTACTTCCGTAAAGATTTACTGCCTCTTGGGTTGCTGTGAGTCAGGATCAACTTGATGGCAGTGAGTTTGGTTTTTGGTTTGGTATTTGTTTCCAAGGGCTGCTATAAAAAATTTCTACAAACTCATGGCTTAAAACAACAGAAATGTATTCTCTTACAGCTCTGGAGGCTAGACTCCAAGACCAAGGTGCCACACTCCTCCTCTAGGCTCTAGGGAAGGATCCTTCCTTGTCTCTTCCTAGCTTCTGGTGGCTCCTGGCAGCCCTTGATGTTCCTTGGCTTATAGCTGTATCACTTCAATTTCTGCCACTGTCTTCATATAACCATCTTCCCCATGTCTTTGTGTCTTTTCTCTTCTTATAAGAATACCAGTCATTGGACTTGGGGCCTACCCTAAATCCAGGATAATTTCATCTTCAGATTTCCAATTAATTACATCTACAAAGACCCTATTTCCAAAAAAGGTCACACATTGAGATTCTGAGTGGATATTAATTTTAGGGGACACTATTCAACCCACTACAGAGGCCTAGGGGACATTTGAAGTAGGTCTTGGGTATGATTTTGCCTTGAGTAGTGTGAAGAGAAGGGCATTCCAGGTTGAGGGACCACTGAGAACCAAGGCAGAGAGTCTGGGAGGTGAGTATGGATCTGGAGAACAAGGTGTTTTGTTTGTTGAAAGGATGAGGCCTGTAGTGGGGAGAAAAGAAAGCCTATAAAAGGAGTTGAGGACAGATCCTTGGAGACCTGGGAGTCTAGGCTGTGACTGGCTTTCCTTCTGCCTAGAATACTTATGCAGAGGGCTGGTGAGATCTTGCAGGGCATGATATGATCAGGGAGAAAGAATCTGGCCATGATGGGTGGAGAGAGGCTTGAGGTAGGAAGATAGACCTCAGGGGGAAGCCTGAGCGGGTCCCTGTGAATGGCAGGGAAAGCCTGCATAGGGTTTTCAAATGTATGTGCTATTCCCTCTCCCTAGAATGCCCCTTCTCTCTTTTCTGATTCATTTTTGCTAGTTTAACTATAAATGACACATCCAGAAAATGCTTCCCTGATATCTGCTAGGTCCTTGGTACCAAATCAACCCCACTGCCATTGAGTTGATTCCAACTCATAGTGACCCTACAGGACAGAGAGATCTGCACCATAGGGTTTTCTTTTCTTTTCTTTTTTTTAATTGTGATTTGGGTGAAGATTTACAGAGCAAATTCACTTTCCATACAGCAGTTCAAATATACTTTGTCTCCATGACATTGACCACAGTTTACCACAATGCAACAGCTCCCCTCCCACTTCCTCCCCATAGTTACCTCTTCCCAGTGTCCATCCCTCCATGGACTCCTGCCCCTGAGCTGTCTCCCTGTGCATAAGCAGCCCTTCTTTCTACCATGATTATTCTCTCCAAGGAGAGTATCTACTTGAGGTAAATGTTCAACTCATATGCCTGTCTTTTGTTTGGCTGGAAACCATGAGTGTGGGTTCAATTCCAGACCTGAAGGGCAGTTAGGGTCCATAGTCTCAGTGGTTCCACCAGGCTTTATCGGACCAGCAAACCTGGTCCCCCCCCCACCTTTTTTTTTCTCCAAATGATTTTGAGTTTTTTTCTACATTGTTCTCCCTCTCTATCAAGGATATCCTACATAGATCCCCTTCCAAGTAGATGACAGTCGTAGCCAGGCACCATCTAGTTCTTCTGGTCACATAGTCATATAGGCTGCAGATTGGATGGTGTACCAGTTGCTAGGACTAATTGTTTTCATGACTTTTTGGTTTTCTTCATTCTTCTTTGCTCTGGACGAGGAGAGACCCATTGTTGCATCTAGATGGCAGCTTGCGAGCTTTTAAGATCCCAATCGCTACTCGCCACAGTAGGAGGTGGAATAATGTTTTGTATAGTATGTTATGCCAATTGAGCTTGATGTCCTCTGCGACTATGGTCCCAAGCCTGCAGGTTCACCTACTCGGTCCCTCTGGGTAGCTGGCTGTGACCAAGCTGTGACCACAACCTTGCCCCTTGTCAGCTCTACTATACACCTGGGAATTCTGCTCATTCACATAAACTTATAGGACCATTGTCTGCCAACCCTATACATGTTCTTGGATACACTCCCCATTTCATAGACATACCTACTCGTTCAGCCTGTCCACCCATCTATCCACCCCTATACCCATGTTAGCCTTCACTGCCAATGCAGTACTGTATGTACAAAAGGGTTCATATTTGTTGTCTGTACCTCTCATATACCTCTCTATGTCTTTCTCATCCTCAATACTGCCATATTGGTCACTCACATTTGGTACATTACCCTTCTCTTCACCCAAATCAATACTTACCTCTATCTATCTAACAGCATCCGTATAGGGTTTTCAAGGCTGTAAATCTTTACAGAAGCAGACTGCCTCATCTTTCTCCCACAGAGTGGCTGATGGATTCCAACTGGTGACCTTTTGATTAGCAGCCAAATGCTTTAACCACTGCACCACTAGAGCTGCTCCTCCTTGGCACACCCCTATATATCATTGATCACATTGTATTGCAGTCACCTGTTTAATGTCACATTCCCTGAAGACTGAAAGTTTCCTGAAAGCAGAAACTGCAATATTTTTCACTCCTCTAGCTTGACACAGTGCCTGGTACATAGTAGGTTCTTAGTAAAGACATATGGACTACATGAGAGCACAGTTAAGTGGATAAGTAATTAGCTGAGTGGACTATACCTTAGCTCAAATGATTTCAAGATAAACTCATCTGAATAGAGTTCTTTAGAAGTCTGCCTGCTCATGGTTATTATTAAGATTTGAAGTAGACTAGGATGACATATCTATCAAGTTTGTCATACTGTGATGGTTTGTGTATTGCTATAATGCTAGAAGCTATGCCACTGGTATTTCAAATACCAGCAGGGTCACCCATGGTGGACGGGTTTCAGCAAAACTCCTGGATCAAGATGGACTGAGAAGAAAGGCCTAACAACCTACTTCCAAAAACTAGCCAATGAAAATCCTATGGGTCAGCAAGAGAATATTGTCTGATATATGCTAGAAGATGAACCCCCTAGGTTGGAAGGCAATGATGGACTCAAGTGTGGTGGCAGTCATGTTTTATTCTGTTGTACCTGGGGTCACCATGAATCAGAGCCAATTTGATGGCAACTGACAACAACAACAACAACAGCAGTGACTGTTGGAATAAAATTGGGATTTGGGAGGATCTTGATAGGCTGGAACTATGAACAAAATCCTACAAAGATGAAATTGATGAGGACAAAATATTAAGTTCTTCTCTAAGGTCCCCAAACCCAACCTAACCACCCCAGGATCAGGGATAAGGTATAGTTTAGCAACTCTCTCTCTGGTCCAAGAGACCTCAGGACCTGGTGGGGCCCTGGAGAAAGAGCATTTTGCCCTTGGTATACTCCTTGCTGTCCTGAACCTTCTCCACTGGGTGTCACAGCCTGGGAAATGCCCAGATTTGCCTTCCCCTTGACACTGACCCCTGGGAATAGTGCCCTCTGCTGTGTAGAGATGACTAGGTGATGGCCAACCTTCCTGAGTACTTTCTATGTGTCAGACACCATTCGTACAGCAACCTTCAAAGAAGATATTATATTCATTTTATATATGAGGAAACCGAGGAACAGGTGGGGTAGGTGACTTCCTCCATAGTCCATGCCCATAATGACCTTGCTATCTTACCTCTGTAGAAGTCTGGGGAGAGAGTGGAGGGCTGGACCCCTCCACACTATTCATTACTCTTACTCCTCTCTTCACCCCTTCTCTCCCTCTCCAGGAAAGAGTGTCTCGTGAGTTCCTCAGGGAACGACAATACAGAGAATGGGTTGCCTGGCTCTAAGGCAGAAGAGAAACCACCCACAAAAGTGTGAGCCCCTGCTTTGGGCCCAGAAGCCACAGGGAGCCTTACTCTCTAATGACGAAACTGATGCTTGAGCCGTGTCCGTAGAACCCACGTGCCTGAGACATCTGCTGCTTGGCTCCAACTGTAGTCTTTTCAGTCAGGGAGAAACTGGGGTCCTTGCAGCCTGCCCCACCCCCTCCCCAGCTATGGCTCTCCAGAGACAAGGGCTGGCAGGAGTGAGGTGTGGAAGGTATGGGAAAGGGCAAGGTGGGCTGAGGTGGGGAAGGGAGAGGGTTCTGTGACCCAGTGGTGGGGTGGTATGGAGGAGGGACCATTCCCTGACACCTGGGTAGATGGGTTTTCTTCAGCCTCCTCACCCTGTCTGAGCAGTACCTTGGTTTCCTTCCATATTTCTCTTTAAGAGGGACTTGGAGGACCAGAGAAGCCTGCCCTAGTAGCTAGGCCCTAGAGATGTGGCAAAGAAAGGGCCATGTGTGGAGGACTAAACTTTTGTGATGGGGTAGGGGCTGAGTGGGAAGAGGACTCTTTCAAGATCTGGGGGCTGGGGATGCTGGAGGTAGGGCTATAGTGAGAGGCATGCCCCTACTTTGTAGGGTACCTGATCCCCCACAGTCCCTCAAGAAGGGGACATAACTTTCTTACCTTTCTGTAACCCCAGACCTGCCTGCCTTGACCCCAGCCATCCATTCTGAGTTTCTCAACCCTCTCAATTGGGGCCTTCTGCCTTGGTCTTGAAGGTGCCTGGTCCCACCTGCCTATTCCTCTGTCTCTGTCACTGAGAAGCCAGTGAAGGTGCCTCCCTCCCTCACCCCACCCCCAGTCTTCCTGGAACACTGGGGTGCTACCAGCCTTTTGCTTTTCTCCTTTGGAAATCAAGGCTGCAAAGGTGGGTGAGCCAGTGTCCTGGGCCATTCAGCCACTGGCATGCCCATCTCAGCCATGCCAAGCTGGCAACCCTTTGTCCTAGGCATGGCAGGACCATTGCCACCCCTGGAAACACCTGAGCCTGGCTCTCCTCTGTGCCTCTTCCTTCCCAGGTGAAACTGTAGGTGACATCATCCTGACCCCTCTCCTCCCCTTGGCTTTTCCTAGGCCCCCATCATCACTCCTCTCCCCTGCACCCAGGGTTGTTCACCCCTTATGGTTCAAGGACTTATCTTCCCCTCAGGGTCCCTCTTCCTTTGGATGAGAGGACCTTTGGGTTTTCTGGCTGCCTCCTACTCAGCTGTGCCATCCCCTCTCCCACCCAGAGATTGGCAGGAGCAGGGAGAGGGTGCCCATAATTTTCCTTTGCCTTTCTAAGAACTGGTTTGCACACCCCTGTATGAGGGGCTAGACTGTGCCTTAGCTCCTGAATCCTAGCTCATTCCTTTGCTTCCCCTTTAGCCCAAACTTCCTGACATAACTTAGTGTGGTGTGGGGCTGACCCAAGGTCATGGAGGAGGCCAGAGAATGGAGTATGGAATTAGGACACCACTGGCCCCTTGGCCAGGAACTGAGTCTTAGAGACATCTGCTAAGTGCTTCCATCAGGGGATCCCCTCAGGAGGAAGTAGTGGTGTTGGAAGTGTGGGTGAGTGATAGTGGAGAGATGTGGTAACTCTGCCATCTGCTCCCACTCCCCCTTCTCTTATTGAATTTCTGAGATTCTGTGCTCTGGCCCCCAGGACAGGTGGGAAGAGAGTAGGCCCCTTTTCCAGATGAGATGGTATGAGAGCCTCAGGGTCCTCCCTGCTAAAAGCAGCAACAAGCTACCTGGAGATTGGAGGGGGACTGACAAACAGCAACACCTGGCAGGCTGCCCTTGGGCTGTGTTCCCAACCCAATTCAATCTCTCTTGGTCTCTCCTATCCTTTTTCACACAGAACCCCTCCTGGGTTTGGGTTCAGATTTTCCTAGCCTTAGGAGCAAACAGGCCAGAGCCACCAGTCATATAGAATACTTCTTATAGCTGCCTTCATGTAAAACTGCTTTCTTCTCCCTTCCCAACTTCAACCTTTGAGCAGGCAGAACATCTTGGGGCTCCTCTTTCTGTCTTCTGAAGAAGACAAGATGACCAGTTCACATAAAGTTGGGAGAGGATGAGCATCATTGGGATCTTTCTACTCCTTGATCTACTGCTGACATACAGGCAGGTCATATATCTTCTCTGGGCTCAGCTTTTTCCTTCTCTAAAATGGGTATAATACTTACCTGCCTCACAGGACTGTTGTGAGGCTTGGCGAGTTTTTCTTTAAAAAAAAATCTTTTGGCTTGGAAAAAGATCTAGGAAGCTAGAATATTATAACTGGAGGGATTGTTTCAAGTCTATCTTGTCCCTATCTCTGTGTCTCATCCTACAACATACACATCACATTGTATCTCATGTACACACACATACCCATTCTCTCTGTCTCTCCTTTTCCACCTCTCCCCTCAGAATAATGTTACTCTATGATGTAAGAACCTTGACTCAGATGCTTGCTCAGATGTTGCTTGTCCATGGTTTTTGTTTGGTGGTTTTCAGTAGAGCTGATTGGAACTATTGGGGAGACATTTTTGGTTACCCCAATGCCTGGGGGAGCACTACTGGTATTTATAGGGTGGGCACTATGAATGCTAAACTTCTCCTTAGAGAGTATGGGACAGTCCCAACAACAAATAATTGACCTTCTCCAATGGCAGAGTTATCCCCATGGAGAACTGGCCTGGATTTGCAGTAGGATGTCATTGGGCAAAGTCGTCTTTCTCGAGCAGACCCTTCAATGCTTGTAAAACTCCAGTGGTCCCCAGGGGTTGGTGAGAGTGTTTCCAGGGCTGTAGGCTAGAGCAAAACCCTGCTTACAGGTTTGATCTTGGGAGCCCTGGATGCACCCAGCTGCCCTGACAGTGAAGTCAGTGAGACCAAGGACAAAGTGTTTCCCAGCTCCCCACCCTTGACCTAAAAACAACAACAACTAGTTGCCATGGAGTTGATTCCAACTCAGGGTGATTCCATGTGTGTCAAAGTAGAACTGTGCTCTGCAGGTTTTTTAATGGCTGATGTTTTGGAAGGAGATCCTCGGGCCTTTCTTTGGAGGCACCTTTGGGTGAACTCAAACCTCTATCTAACCTTTCAGTTGGCAGCTGAGAGCATTAACCATGTGTACTGCCCAGGGACTTCAAAGTAAGACTTCAGAGTTTCAGGTCTTAGGTTTCTCTCTGTGTAACAATTTAGCAGAAAATAGCCAGAATGAAGTGATACTCAAGAGGCCTATAAGAGTGGCCTATGGAACTCAGACTCTTCCCACATCTGGCACAGCTGGAGGCGCACTGAACCTTGCATGAAGTGAGGGGTGTGCGAGTGTGCTCCCAACATGGCAGGAGGTGAGAGTGCGTGTGTGTGGTGTGTTCGTGGAGTGTGTACATGGGAGTGTGTGCATGTGTGTGGGCAGTGCAAGTGCATGGAAGTGTCACTGTGGAGTGAGTGGGCTGTGCATGGGAAGGGTGATGTGTGGGTGTATGTGTAAAGACTGTGCCCTTGACTTGGGGGGGACTCTGGACATTTCAAGAGCCATCTTTCCTGGCCTGAGCTATACCTGTTGGGGTAGTTGGGTGCTGAGAAAGGATAAGTGATAAAGGGAAGACCAGCCATGCTCCTGGACTCCACAACTCCATGACTCCATGTCACTATTATAGACAGCTGCCATCAGAGGGGAAGAATGTTGGGGAGAGGGAGTGTAAGGAGGGGGACTTCTCTGGAAAATTCTATAGCTTGCTTCACTTACTTTGTCCCAGGTTGGAGTCCCTACCCTCCCACCCCCACCTCCCACCTGATATGCAATGCTTTTGACTATCTTATGCATGGTTTCTTCTTCTGGCTTGGATGACAAAAATATCCATAGTCAACTTTCCTGTATAAGTTCACAGAATGCAGCAATGGGTCTTGGAGGGGCATGACTCAGGCCTGGGGTGCCTCTGGGAGGCACAGATATGCACATGCCCAGCACTGACTTGTGTTCAAATACAGAGTGGATGCAATCAGACTGTCTTGCCTTTACAACATGTTTTGCATTGTAGAATTTTATTTAGCTTTGCCTTGGATGAAATAAAAATTATGTTTACTAAAACTGTTTTGGAGTTTCCATTTTTTGGTTAATTAGGAGCTTGGTTTCAGTTTTAAAACTTGACAGCTATAGTTTGGACAGGTTCTAAGTTTCTTCACTTCTCTGAACTTCGGTCTTGTGTCTATGTTACTTGCCTAGGTGAGATAACACAGGTGAAATACATGAGTGTCTGGCATATCCATAAGCATTCAGCTTAGATTAGATTAGTTCTAATGCCTTCTCTGGAGGAGTTGGAATAGTGGCCCTTTAGTATCAGATTATTGCCAGGGCCCACCCTGTACTGATAACCTTCATCATGACTCTGGAACCAATAAACATCATGACACTTATAACATCCTCTTCCCCTATCTTCTAACTCCTCTCCTCTCCTCAGATTGACATTTGTATCTAGGTTGAAATCTGCTTCAAATGAATAATATGGACAACTTTGAAGAGGAAAAGGCATGCAACAACTTACTGACTGAAGAGTGTGTAGGCCAACTGGGCTTTGCATGGCTGATATTTCCAGCTTGCTGTTCTGGGGATCAGGCTACCTGGGGGGTAGGGGAGGGACTTACACCTTAGGGGTGACTCTACCCATGCATATTTCATATTATTCACTTCAACTTTCTTGAACATAGATTCCCAAGCACTCCTGCCTTTAGTGGAGAATTTATTGCTGCTAGATATAAGGGAAGGAATCAGGAATATGTATGAGTATATGTGTTTGCTTATGTTCTTAGACTTTATGATAGCACAATTTCTTACCATACCATATCCCTCTCTTTAGTGGATTTGCCTCAGATTGCATTTTAAAGAATTTTAAACACTAAGTAATTAAAAACACTTGTCAGAAGACTCTCTCCTCCATCAAGGAACCCCGGGAAAGCATTTCAGAAGAGGTCCCTGGTAGTCCTCAGCTATAGTAATTGTGCTTTGTGCCC